ACTGAGACCCACGTTCAGGGGGTCTGGGTCGATCCAATGCTGGTTTCCCAGCTATCAGTCTAGGGTCCATGAGCTCCCCCTTGTTCAGGTCAGCTGACTCTGTGATTTCTGTAGCCTGGTGTTGACCCCTTTTCTCATCACTCCTCCCTCTCTGCAACTGGATTCCAGAAGTTTGGCTCAGTGTTTAGCTGTGGGTGTCTGCTTCTGTTTCCATCAGCTACTAGATGAAGGCTCTATGATGGCATATAAGTTAATTATCAGTCTCGTTATCAGGGAAGGGCATTAAAGGTAGCCTTTTCACTGTTGCTCAGATTGTTAGTTAGGGTCAGCTTTGAGAAATGTCCAGAGGCCTACAAGGATGGTCCACACTCTTTAGCCTTCCAGTATCACAATTTCTACTTTTCTTCCCTTTCTAGGCAGATGCTTTCTCATCAATTAGGAAACACTGCCATCCTGTGGCTATGGGTTGACATATGCTCCAACCAGCAAATTGCTGGAACTTCAATGGCATTGTTTAATGATTAAACCAAAGAGCACACTATTAAGTCAAATGACTCAAGTAAAGCAATAGTGATCTGTAAAGAGGGATGCTCGCTGCAGCAAACAAACAAACAGACAAACAAAAAAAGCAACCTGGCCTCATTTCTCTGAACTCTTTCTTTGCTTTTAAAAATCTAGCCAGAGCCTTTAAGCGATTCTGGTGGCAAAGGTGTCATCTATTCCCAGCTACTCTTGGTTTAGAATCCTACGCACCGTGGTTCTGCATAGACGCTGCCCTTTCCAGGGCAGTTCACATCAATCTGTCTCCAGGCTATTTCCCTCGACTGTGGCAGGCTCTGTTATCACTCCCAGGTCTGTTCACCCTGTATCCTCCCACGGTAGGTTAAAGCTAAATTCAAGTATTTCCACTTTCTTTTCTTTTTTTGAAACTGAACGATCTGAGGTAGGCCACCTAACCTAAAGCATCAGTTACTCCGTTTGTAAAATGGGCATAGCACCTTCGTCATAGGGATATTGCAAAGATGAAATGACAAAGTGTGTAAAGAGCCTGGAACACCATGGGTCTTGGTGCTGGAAATTATCTTTCCCGTGAGGGCTTGCTAGTGTTGTCCATTGGAGGCCAGTGATTTGATGTCGGAGGTTAACAGGATCCTCAGCAACAGTCCGAGAGTCGAAGATTTTAGGCTTTGGAGATCACCTACCGCTATTTTCACGCGTGGGCAGCTGGCCGAGCAGGGATCGCAACCCGGCTCTTCTTGCGTGCGCAGCCTGCTGCAGGTGCGTGGGCGTGAGCCCCGCGGCGCCGAGAGGAGCGGGGAGGGGCGGGGCGCGGCCACCAGGCGCACTCATTCCTCGCCGCGGTTCCCTATCCAGGACCGGGGGTTGTGTGTGGATAATTCAATCCCCGTGGGACTCGGCGTCAGGCCTAGTCCCAGGCTTGGTGGATTGGCTGTCTCGATTGCCCCCGCCCTCGCTACTCACACCCCCACCCGCGTCCCAGGTGGCTCAGGCCCCTGTGGTGATCTCTGTTTACGGAGAGAGCCGGTCCAAGTTGGGCTCCATCTCTGCACTGGCTGGCTGCTCCGCAGAACCCTGCCTGCCTGGAACGCGCGGAGAAAATCCGGCTGAACCCACCTTCACCCTTTCCCTACCCCCAACGCCGGGAGAGGTCGGGTAAGAGAAAAAGGGTTTGGGAAGGAGGAGCCCCCGGCCCGGGGGATCCTGCTGCCCCCCATTCCAGGACCTCACGTGCACCCAGGACTTCTATCCCTAGGCCTGGTTCCCGCGCCCATGCTCGGGGCGACGTGCCCACCCTGGGCGAGCAGCCCGAGGCTGGATCTCAGGGACATCAGTTCCCTAGCGGAGGCCCAGGCGTGGAGACTTCATTCACAGGTGTTTCCCCACCCCAGCAGACGGCGATGACCCCCAAGCCGGCCGGACCCCCGGACGGGGGCTGGGGCTGGGTGGTGGCGGCCGCAGCATTCGCCGTGAACGGGCTCTCCTACGGGCTCTTACGCTCCCTGGGCCTTGCCCTCCCCGACCTCGCGGAGCACTTTGAACGAAGCGCCCAGGACACTGCGTGGGTCAGCGCCCTGGCCTTGGCCGTGCAGCAGGCAGCCAGTGAGGGGGGGCCCTCGAGGTGGGAGGCGGGAACCGGGTGGCGAGACCGTGAATGTAGTGATGGGAGACAGGAGACTTGATTACCAGAGAACCTGAGAGCTACTGGTGGAACCAATTTCTAGAAGAGTGGGTCTTGAGGTCAGAGGGAGGAGTTACCAGGCCAGGAAAAACAGCCAATGAGAAGTGTTGGAGATAGTTTGGGGGTCCCGGGGCATGTCTTCGTTGACTCCGCCCCCTTCTAGGCCCAGTGGGCAGCGCCCTGAGCACTCGCTGGGGGGCACGCCCCGTGGTGATGGTTGGGGGCGTCCTAACCTCGCTTGGCTTGGTCTTCTCGGCTTTCGCCCGAAGCCTCCTACACCTCTACCTCGGCCTGGGTCTCCTCGCTGGTAAGAATAATGGGATGCCCGTATGCTTCAGGGTTATAGAAGGGTTAGGAGCTTCTTGTGGGGTAAGGAACCGAACAAGGCGGTGTGTGTGTGTGTGTGTGTGTGTGTGTGTGTGTGTGTGTGTGTGTGGTGTGTACGAGCGCGGAGAAGAGAAGCAGGGCTAAGAAATGTTAGAAAAATCATCCTCGTATCCTCATTCTGTCCTATCCATTTGCAGGCTCTGGCTGGGCCCTGGTGTTCGCCCCTGCCCTGGGTACCCTCTCTCGGTACTTCTCCCGCCGTCGGGTCTTGGCAGTAGGGTTGGCGCTCACCGGTAATGGGGCATCCTCGCTGCTCCTGGCACCTGCCTTGCAGTTCCTCCTTGATACTTTCGGCTGGCGGGGTGCCTTGCTTCTCCTTGGCGCTGTCACCCTCCACCTCACACCCTGTGGCGCCTTGCTACGACCCTTAGCTCTCTCTGGTGACTCCCTGGTACCACCTCGAACCCCCTTAGCTGCCCTTGGCCTAGGTCTCTTCAGGCGCCGAGCCTTTTCAATCTTTGCATTGGGCACTGCCTTGATTGGGGGCGGATACTTCGTTCCCTATGTGCACTTGGGTCCGCACGCTTTAGACCAGGGCATGGGGGGTTACGGTGCAGCGTTGGTGGTGGCTGTTGCTGCAGTGGGAGATGCGAGTGCCCGACTGGTCAGCGGATGGTTAGCAGATCAGGGCTGGGTGCCCCTTCCACGTCTTTTGGTTGTGTTTGGGTCTCTGACTGGGTTAGGGGTACTGGCAGTGGGACTAGTGCCCCCTGCGGGAACAGAAGAGGGTTGGGGGGCTCCTCTGCTAGCCGCGGCTGGGGCCTATGGCCTGAGTGCTGGGAGTTATGCCCCACTGGTTTTCGGTGTGCTCCCGGGATTGGTGGGCATTGGAGGTGTGGTGCAGGCTACAGGGCTGGTGATGATGCTGATGAGCCTCGGGGGACTCCTGGGCCCTCCCCTGTCAGGTAAGGGCTGAGCCTGGAGATTCGTTTAAGATTTCTGCCCCTGGGATGCCAGGCCTATAAATTCCTTTATCCCTGTTCTCAGGTTTCCTAAGGGATAAGACGGGAGACTTCGGTACCTCTTTCCTGGTGTGCAGCTCTTTCATCCTCTCTGGCAGCTTCATCTACATGGGGCTGCCCAGAGCCCTCCCAACCTGCCGTCCAGTCTCACCTCCAGCTACCCCTCCCCCTGAGAGAGGGGAGCTTCTCCCAGTTCCACAGGTCTCCCTGATGTCGGCAGGGGGCGCTGACTCTTCTCGGGATACCGCTTGTTGATCACTTTCTTGTCTGAGCCCCTTCCCCAATAAAGGTTTTTATCTGACTCTATTGAAAAACAAACAAACTATCTGAAAACAACAGGACCCCAGTGGCTCTGGCGGTGAGGAAGGCTGCCTGTCCAGTCATTGCTCAAATCCTTATCTTTGAGAAGTTGTGAGCTAGTCATTTTCAGTTTGTTAGGGGGCATATCTAAACCTCCTACTTCATATTCTTATTTATGTGGGTTTGTGGAGGCCAAATCTCTTGGAGTTGGATTTGCAGGCAGTTGTGAGCTACCTGGTGTGGATGCCCTTAGCCAAACAGGTCACCAGGAGGAGCAAACAATCTGCTGAGCTCTTTCTCTAGCCCTACTTTTAAAAGATTGACTTTTAGCCAGGCATTGGCGGCACAAGCTTTTAATCCCAGCATGGATCTCTGTGAGTTCCAGGCCAGCCTGGTCTACAGGGCTAGTTCCAGGTCAGCTCCAAAGCAATACAGAGAAATTCTGTCTCAAAAAAAAAAAAAAATTGACTTTTATTTATGCTATATGTGTGTTTGTGTGAAAGTATGCCCCATATGTGTGGGTGTTCATGGAAGCCGGAAGCCAGAAGAGGACATTGGCTCCCCTGAATCTGGATTAATAGGTGGTTGGTGGTTGTAAGCCACCATGTGTGGGTGCTCTGGCCCTCTGGAAGAGCAGGAGGTGCTTTTTAACTGCTGAGCCTTTTTTCCAGCTCCCAAACGTCATACTTCTTCTTGCATTTGATTTGCCTTTGTTAGCCTGAGAAAAACAAAAATCCACCTGGGTATGGTTGTGAGCACCTGTAATCCCAGCACTTGGGAGGAGGCCAGGTCTCAAGTTCAAGAGCAGCCTGGGCTACATGTGAGGCAGGGTCTCACAGGTACAAGACTCTTAGGTATCAGCTTCTGTTCCCAAGCCACCTTCCTCCAACACATAGACTTTTCTCTTCATTTTCCTCTCTATCACAGGAATAGTGGAGAAGAGGGAGCTAAGTGGATGGAAGGGAAGAACTCTGGGTCACCAGAACTCATGGACGTCTCTACTCCTTTGTTCAGCCACGACCCTATTAGCTGCCCCAAGCACCTAGACCTCCAGCTCTTTTTGAGGTTTCAATTAATGTCCAGTTTCCTTATTTGTTTTATATCCAAGGGACACCAGAAACCACATATAAAACATGAGAAGACTCTTGACCTTTGATTCTCAGATTTGATTCAGAACTCAGTGGGTTGAGATCTCCTGGATCCTTCAGAAAAGCTTGGGAGGACAAAGGAGGTGACAGAGTCATCAACAAAATACAAAAGGCTGGCACGTAAATTGCAGGAGCCCCAGGTCTGCTGGTGGAGGCAGATCAAGAATCCTAAGGCACTGTGCTTCTGTGGATGCCTCGATGGGGCAGAAGCCCTGGTGGTGTCAAGCTCTGGCTTTCCATGACCACGCCTCCTGGGGGAGTTCAGGCCTCTCCCAAACCCTCCTCCTTGGGCAGGGGAATTTTGGTATCCAGTGGCTCTATTACAGGGTCCTGTGGGCTGGAGGTAGAAGCTGAGATGCAGGAGAAGAAATGGGGTAAAGTCATAAGGACTCCACTTCCAGCAAGAAGGAATGCCCCAGCCACCATAAAAGAAGCCATGTAGTTGCCTGTCACATCCCGGAGGTAACCTGGTTCAAGAGAAAAACAAACACACATGGGTGATCTACACACTGGGGCTAATGGCCTAGATCCATTTGGGGGCAAAGGAAAACCCATTGTCTTAGAAGAGATGGACTTCCCAAGATAGGACTGAATGAACATGAGCCTCCAGTTGCTTAAACAGTCTCAAAAGGCCATTTCAGCTACCACTCTCCCTGCAGGACCTCCAGAGGAGCCTGTAGGGATTTAGTGAGCCATAGTATGTCAAGTATATCTGTGTGTTTCGTGCTGGCAACAGTGACCCTTCTAAACCTTCAGTTAATAGTTAAGAGGAAGGTGTTTAAAGAGCAGAAGGTTCTAGCGTCTTGATCATGGAAAACTTTAACCAGATGTTTCAGACATTTGGGCAGGGGCCCAGTGGGCCAAAGGAAAGAAAAAAAAAAGAAAGAAAGAAAGAAAGAAAATGTTAGGTCAAGCTAGGTCTTCTAAAAACTCAGCCTGCAGTTTCACTGGGGTCCTCTTTGTCTTTCCACTCAGACCTTCTCAGACCCAAGTTCTATCCTCCTGTGAACCCACTTCAGGACTGTTGTGATTGGCTATGCAGGCTGTACAGTGTAACATACTAGAGGGCAATATTAACATATACCATAGTGGGAATAGTTCCTTCCTCCAATTATGCAACATGACATGTCTGGCCCAGTTGGCAATCCCACTTCCCTTACCTGATAGAGGAGCTCCCAATAGCCCCCCGATGCTCTCTATCATCTGCACCAGTCCCAGGCCACAGTAAATCCTTCCAGTTCCCACCAGTTCAGGAAGCACGGAGAAGGCCACCGGGGTCAGGGCCCCTGATGTGAAGCCATAGGCCACAGCCAGAACCACCAGGGTTGTGGGAGCCTGAGCCACAGGGAACAGGGCTAGTGACACCCCAGTCAGGGTGGTCCAAAGCATCAGCAGTCGTGCCACAGGCCCTGGAACTGCATCTCCCAGCCAACCAGATGCCACGCGACCCACGAGGTCAGAAACAGCAGCCACTGATAGTAGGAAGGCAGCAGGCAGTGGGTCCCAACCCAGGTCCTGCAAATGGGCCACCAGATGGACATAGGGAATGAAGTAGCCAGTGTTAATCAGAGTAAGGGCAATTGTGTAACGGAGGAAGGGGCCATGATGGAAGAGGGAGGTGAGCTGGGCCCCAGGGCCACCCACGGAAGTGTCTTCAGTCAGGGAGAGTGGGCGGAGTAGAGCACCACAGGCTATCAGGTGTAGGGAGAGGGCAGATACTAGCAAGAGAGCTCCCCTCCAGGCATAGTTGCTGATCAGCCACTGGAAGAGGGGAGCAAATGCGAAAGAGGAGAGGCCCACTCCAGTCAGTGCCAGCCCCATGGCCAGAGATCGACGTCGAGAGAAGTAGCGGGAGAGGCAGGCCAGGGTCGGAGTGAAGGTCAGGGCCCAGCCAGAGCCTGTCAAAAGGGAAAACAGGGAAAGGGTGGGGGAGCTGTGGACTTTGGAGGTGCTCAGAACACCCAGTGACCCCAACACTACCTAGCAGAAGACAAGCCCCTGCTTTGGCCTCACACAGACTTGGATTTAGTGCTGGCTTTGACACTTTCTAGCTGTGTGACCTTGTGTGTTCTACTTACTCTCCCAGGCTCAATTACCTCATCTGCAAAATGGGCTTAACACACTTTATGGCAGTTATTCTCAACCTTCCTAATGCTGCAGCCACTGAATACAGTTCCTCATGCTGTGGTGACCCCCCCCCCCATAAAATTATTTTCATTGCTACTTCATAACTGTAATTTTGCTACTGTTATGAATTGTAATGTAGATATCTAACAGGCAGCATATCTGACTACAACCCCTGTGAAAGGGTGGTTCAACTCTCAAATAGACACGACCAACGTGTTGAGAACTGCTTTTTTTATGGGACTTGGGAAGACAAGAGGCAGTGGTCTTAAAATAAAATAACTAAAACAGAACTTTGGAATTAGAGCCCCATCTCTACCGTTTCTGGCTGCATTAATCTTCCTTTGCCCAGGTGCATGAACATCAATAAACACCGAAAGCCTTATTATTTTTAATAGCCAATGATATCTATTTCAGTTAATACCTAGCACAATCTTAAAGAAATTCTCCCTCTACACTTTTGTCCGATGGGTTTGGACTTGTATTTTCTGAATTCATTATCTCTGATTTAGTCATCCACTTAAAGAATTCCCTTCAGGGCACAGGTTCTCCCTAAGCCTTTTTAGAAAGAGGTGGAAGAAGGTGACAATCCAGAGGCTTACGATTCAGGCCTTGGACTTCTGCCCTTGCCCAGGGTCTCACCTGACAGCAGCCCAATACTCAGGTATAGGTGGGTCAAGGAGGTAGCAAATGAAGCAAGCAGCATCCCCAGGGCAGCCAAGATGCCCCCAGTCATCACCACAGGCCTGGGCCCCAACTTCGTGCTCAGGGCACTGCCTATTGGGCCTGGGGAATTGGAAGGGGTTCTGCGAGGTGGTCTCCGCCGTCCTCCCTCAGCATCCTCCCAACCCTTCGCCTTTCCCTTTTCTTGTCCCCAATTTCCCTCTTTTCCGAGGGTCGTGGGCCACCGCACCCAGGCGCAGCACTCACTCCCAAACTGCTGCACCGCGATCCCTATTGAAGCGATCCAGGAGACTCTGGCTGCCTGCTCCTCAAACGCCGCCACAAATTCCACGAAGAAGACACCGAAGGAACGGAGCACCCCAAACACGAGCGCCGACTGGAAGAACGCTGAGAGCACTACCATCCATCCCCAGCCCCCATCGGGGGGCTCAGCCCTGCGCGCCATTCTGGAAGGAACAAAGCTAGAACCCCTGCCTGATCAGGGCTTTACACCGCCCACTTTGACCCACCCACCCTGCAGGACGCTTGGCGCTTAACTGTGGCTGGTCGCTAGGAAGTTACTGAGAAAGCGTGGGGCGCCTGCGCCTTTCCCCCAAGAGGAGGGAGGTCTTTGACCCAGGACCTGCCACTGGGACCGGTTAGCCCGCAACTGAGCATTCAGACCCGGGCCAGATGATTTCTTTAGAAGCCAGAGAACAAAACTGGGTACGGGCCACAAGCCTGAGGAGAGAGTCTGGATGTTATCTTTGTGGATTCAGCACCTGCCTAAGTGGGCCAACATCCAACCCCAAGCTAGCCAATTAGGATGCAGGTCTCCCGATCAGGGGGTAGGCCCGGAGGGGGTGGGCGGGGTGTATAGCATTGAGCTGAACCTGCAGTAAGAGGGGCGCATGCGTAAGGAGGGGCATGAGGAAGATAGATCCCACGTGACGAGGGACCTACCGCGAGGGTTCTAAGGGTGCTGGAGTCATTCACATTTCAAGACTTGCATATAAGGGCTGCTGGTGGATAAACTGGTCCTGGCCAGGCAGGAACTCGCTTGCTCAGTCAGGGATCCAAGAATTGCCTGCTAGGCCGTGTGGGTACAAAGGGATAGGTTATGAGGTAAGAATCAAGAAAACTAATAGAGCAGCTGGGGTGGCTAGAAAAGCCGACCGCAGGGTCCCAGAGGGGCCGAGGCAGAGGGAAGACAGGGAGCCAGTGGTGCTTCTCCAGAGGCCGAAGCAACCTCATGCTCAGCGTGGGCAACTTAGCTAAACCCTGTCTCAAAATTCAAAAATAATGAAAAGGGGTTCATATTTGTGTAGGTCCTGGTTCAACCCCCTAGAGCTGCTAGGTTAAGGGTGGGGGACAGGCTTGTTGGACCCGTGGCATTCATTTCAGTGACGGGGATTTGTTCCTGCAAGTCTATCCCCTCTGACAGGAAACTTGCAGGTCACGGAGACCAAAAATAACTTGGGAGAGGAAGGCTGGCTGTCAGACCATCCAGAGTTCCTCAGTACCACCTACCTTTTCCTCCGCAGTGCTGGAAGCTTTCCCTTTGTCTTCTAGTAATGGCCATTTCCTAACCAGTTTTGATCTCATACTGAACTACACAAGAGACTAGCCATAACCCTGGTCACTGGAGCAGCCAGCCTCGATCCTCTAGCACACCCTCACCCCATGACAACAATGACTTGGGCTTCTCTGTCCCTTTATTATTCCTCAGGCTCCCCAGGACTGAACTTGCAACCTTGGGCTCAGAATTTATACACAGGCCAGTGGGTACAGAGGAAAACCAGGGGGATGGGATAAGGAACTATGCTTTGTTTTGTTTCAAGACAGTGTTTCTCTGTAGCATTGGAGTCTGTCCTGGAACTTCCTCTGTAAACCAGGCTAGCTTGGAACTCAGAGATCCACCTGCCTCTGCAATCCTGAGTGCTGGGATTAAAGGCATACACCACCTTTGCTTTTAAGAAATTATGCTATAGGGGCTGGAAAGATGGCTCAGCAGTTAAGAGCACTTACTGTTGCTTTAGAGTAGCAGGGTTCATTCAGTTTTTGCCTGCAATCACACTGGTCAACACAGTGGCCTTGTAACTCCTGTTCCAGGGGATCTGACACCCTCTTCTGGCCACCACAGGCATCATCCATGTGGGCCACTTAGATTCATGGAGGCAAAACACCCATGCACATACAAATAAATATATACATCAAGTTTGATTGCACAGGCCTGTCTGCAACCCCAGCTATTTAAGGAACTGAGGTCAGAGGATCGCAGGCTCAAGACTTGCCTGGACTACAGAGTTCGATAAAGGCCAGCCTGACATGAGACTGTCTCAAAAACCCAAGGAGGGGCTGGAGAGATGGCTTAGCAGGGAAAGGGCTTGCTTTGAGAGCCTCATGACCTCAGTTTTATCCCTGGAACCCACAGAAGGAAGGAGAGAACCAACTCCAGTCATCTGTCATATGTACACATGCCATGGTGTATGCACACAAAAACATCATATACACATGCACAATAATAAGTAATTTTATAGAATAGTCCCTCCCTAAACCCAAGGGGTTTTTGGCTTAACATGTGGAAATCCCCAGTCTTAATCCTTGGCACAAAGAAAAACCAAACCATATTAAGTTTTTCAGTTAAATATATGAAAAATAAAATAATTATGCAAAAATGCTATGGATCTGCAATCTTGTTGTAAGTAGACTTGTATGTAGGGATATGCCAATGGCATAGGAAATAGTTGAATCTCAGGAGTCAAGAATCCAGTCCTGAGATCTCTAGATTCAGGGAAGAGTTCCAACCTTGACTTTATCACTTATTATTTGGTCAAGATAACTTCCTTCTCAGCTGGCTTCCTCACCTGGAAACTGCAGAGAATACTCCCTGCTTTTGAGGACCACCAGACTAATTATTAAGTCTGGGCACTAAAATGCTTTATTTAGGACCTGGCATTTAATAGGTGTTAAATAATAGTAGCTGGTCTTATTTTCAATAGGGGACAAGCTGGAATGGAGGGTGACAGAAACTTTTGCTTAGTATTTTGCCACTTTTTGTTTTTTGAATATAATCTAGGTTATGGGTTTATTTTAAAAAATGAAGAAATCCAGGCGGTAACTAAAATAGATTATCGGGGAGGACATTAGACTGAAGAAGAGAGGACCACAGCCTATGATCATTGGGTGCTTCTGAGGTCACAGTCACCTTTGTCACAGTCGAGCAAAGTCCAGAGGGAGGTAACCTTAGAATTAGTGACTTTTGGCTTTGGGCTAGAACACACCTGTGCACCCTGCACACATGGGTCATGGGAAAAGACACATGCATTGGACATTAGATAGATTCTAAGACCCTAGGGCTGGGAGGTGAAGCGGGCACACAGGCACTGACACACTCGGTCTTCTCCTAGCTGCTCTAGCTCACCTCTGTTATTCTTAGGGGACCCAAGCCCTACCCATTTTCTTTGGTGATAGCTGTGTGTGGGTGGGTGTGCTTGCACAAATGCATTTCCCAAATCCTTGGTGCTTTCCTACTTTCTCCCTGCAGCCTCCACACCTCAGTCAGGAAGTGACTTCAGACCAGCAGGATGCAGGTGGCTCCGGATAAACTCCATGAAGTCACTGGTTCCAACACAATGAGCCGGAAGGCTAGGGCAGGGAAGGGAGAACAAGGACCATTGAAGAGGACTAGTGGGATGAACAGCGAAATGAACAGAATCCAAGTTGTTATATTTTGGAGCCACTTTCCAAGTCCCCATGTGCGCCCTCCCCCCACAAACAGAAGCCTGGGACACACAGAGGGCAAGGGAGGGTTCTTTATTCCAAGGATCTGATCTCAAAGGCTCTAACACCTCGCCCGGCACTTCCCATATGCCCATCCAGTCTTCTAGACAGAAACCACAATACTCTTTCAGTCTCTCCTCTCCTCCCCCTTTACAGTTCTGCATTCAGGTGATAAGGGAGTAAAAGGGAAAGTGGAAGAAAGTTTCCTCACCAGCTATGCCTTACAAATTCAACTCTTCATGCCCAAGTCCTATCATCAAACAGGCCCCAGGGCAGCAAGAAGCAGGACTGTAAATCAAGGCTCCCAAATATCATCTAACATTTCAGACACTCCATCTGATCAGGGAACTCCATCCCCAACGTTTTTATCTACATGGTCTACACCAGAAACTGCAGCCCTCAGCTAACCTCATACACCATCACATAGAAGAGGCCTTTGGCCAAACCAGCAACGAGTCTTTTAAAGCCTTAAAGCATGTAACTCCAACAATAATCCTCAATGACAACAAATCTAGCATGGAACTCAGCCCCCTTTATCTTCCCGTGTAATGTCCTGTTTGCAGACAGGAATGTGGTTGGGGAAGGAAGACCGAGTCACAGACCCAGATTCTCAGGTAAGAAAATTACCAAGCACCTATGAAAGTTGAAAGTTTTGGAATCTGAACACTTTCCAGAAGCTGTCCAAAAACAAAACAAAAAATACATTAGAAGACAAAGGGCATATTAAACCCCAAGGAACATTCAAACCCAGCTGCTTGTGCAGTAAAGGATGGGTCAGACTGTAATCAAGGTAAGGAATGTCATTAATTCTCCCTAGGTCACAACATTCTTAGAAACTAGACAGCTAAGAACAGGTCCTATAATCTCTGGTACAGATCTTCAGTTCTCCCCTCATGGACATGCTAACTTAGCCCCACAGAGGCTCAGCTTGGACCCTTTGCAGGCTCTCTCTTAGAGATGAACACAGTACATTCAAACCCAGGTGGGTAGATCAATGGAACAGCTTAGATGCTATGCCTTCTTGTAGGAAAGACTAGCCACCTCCATTTAGAATGATGAGGAATCCAGTCCCCATTTCACCAGGCTTCGGGAGGAATCTATTATCTACATTTTGTGTTCATCAGCCAGGAAGAGCTGAAAACTTTCTTCCCATGTCTAGCCAGGACTTGCACCATCCAGAATACCAGAGAGGATTTCCTCACCCTACCTTACATGTTCTCAGGGTTTGCCCTAGGAAAACTAAAGGTTGCAGTCCTAGAACTGAAGGGACAAACCAACAAGCCAACAAGTAGGAAAGGGAGGAATCCAGAGAGAAAAGTTACAACAAGAACAATGTGGGACACTCAAGCCAAAGGAGAGAGCCAAGTGCTAAGAAGCTCTGCCAGCAGAGCAGCACCCTCACCTGAGTTCGGGTCACTTTTGATCACACTTGTGGAAGAGGGGAGTCAGAAACGCAAACAGAACGAAGGCCCTGGTGCCACCCAAGGCCTAAATAAATTATATTTACAGATAAACGATATGAAATGGGGGGGGGTAGGGGCAGTTCCCTTGAAGAGGTTAAGGTCCTTGTGTCTCCCCAGCCCCTAGCTACCCAGTCTGGATTGTGAGGAAGAGGTTTTGACCAGCAAAACAGAGGCAGATCTAGCCAGGGTCTGCCTCTCCTGCTCTCCCCAGTACAAGGTGACAGAAGGTTCTGATACCAGAGTCACCCGTCACACTCCCATATCAAGACCATCAAGGGAGCCAAGCCTGGGCCTGCTTTTACAGCCCTCAGGGAGCAAGTGTGGTTCGGGTGGGGGACTCTGCCGCCTCTATGGGCTCCCAAGGAGGTGGTAGCGCACTTTGGTGTTGGTAGCAGCCCCATGTTTCTGACGCAGGTGCAGCCTTAGTTGACTCTTGTGCCGAAAATGCAGGCCGCAGGGGTCGCACTGTGGAAGGACAGGTCTGTTAGGTCCCTGCCCTTCCACAACCACCTTTTAGTTGGGACAGGAAGGGGAACTGTCCAGCTCTCTGATGACAATCAACCCTTTAGCATTCGCGCCCTTGTAATTTCTCTGAGGCGCCCCGGAAGTGAGCCTTGCCTTACTTAACAAAGGTATCAACACCCGTTAGCCCCTTGGGACTAGTCCCTAGTCCGGGAATATAATTACCCCCACTCCTCTCCCCAGTCCAAGCCCCCCCCCCACCCCGATTAACTCGGACTCTTTAGTCCGCCGGCTATTTCTAAGAAATTGTAGCACTGGTGGCAAGACTTGGCCCTGCCTGCGTGTATGTGGTGGATAATGGCTGGATTGCATAGGGTACCCACGTGGTATGGCTTCTCCCCTGTGTGGATGCGAACGTGGCTTTTGAGGGTCTGTAGGTGGCGGAAGCGAGTTCCGCAGGTGGGACACGGATAGGGCTTCTCTCCCGTGTGGATCAGCACGTGTGCGCGAAGATGTGCCACCTGAGGAGGGGAGGAGCCCTGAGATCGCCTCGGGGAGGAGCAGCACCCTAGCACCCTCTCCGTTCCTCCCACTTGCCTTCCAGCCCTCTCCTTACCTGAACAAAACGAGAGCCGCATGTCTCACACTTGTATGGTTTCTCTCCAGAATGGATGCGGCTGTGCGTTTTTAGATTAGCTGGTCGGTTAAAACGTGCTCCGCAGATGGAGCAACGGTAGGGCTTTTCCCCTGCATGTAAGGAAGAAGACAGTCAGATCGCCTTAAGAGAACGATGGGCACAAAGATGAAGACCCCCTCCTACCTGTGTGCACCGTGCGGTGACTAGCCAGGTTGCCCTTATAGCGGAAGGCAGATCGGCACAGCTGGCATTTATAGGGCTTGTCCTCATCCCCCGGAACTAAGGGGTCCAGCCCCGATGAGCACCCAGCCACAGCCTCACAGTTCTGGCAGCTGAAAAACTCACCTCCTGGGAAGGGTGGAGAATAATGACAATCTTATTTATTGAGGACTTCCCAGGTACCAGTAAGTCCATAATAGTACACGGGTAGGATCTGTTTGCCTTTTTAACCCCTAGTTTCCTGTGAAGGCTACTGGGGGACCCACTTGGCTTGTACATGGCCACATATTTAGTAAGATGTATCTGATTTAGTAGTATGCTTATAATTCTTGGTGGTGGTTACAGTATGTGAAAGTTCTTGCAAATGGGTGGAGGTTTCTGTTTCTCTCCTTTCTTGCCTCACTCTGGGTGACAGACCGCCAGAGAGGCCCTGCCAAACACTGGGCAGACTGTTCAGTCACGGACTGGGGTAGGCTAGAACTTCCCAAACTGTGCTGCTCTTTAGAAGTACATTAAGAGTTTAAAATTTTTTATGATTCGTCCCCTCTCAGATATTCTGACTGATGAGGTGAAAATTTCACAGAAGGGTCTAATTTGCAGTCAAGTTTGGGAACTGTTAAACAGGTCCTTTCTGCGGACTTTGGGTTCAGATTGGCCTGGAACAGTTACAGGAGAGAAGCCAGAAGAGAAAGAAGGGCTCTTACCTGGGGGTGGGTGAGCCTGCTTAGAAGTTGATCCAGAAGTCTCTTGAGCATGGGGTGGAAAGAGGTAGGGGGCATTTGCTGGAGGTCCACATTTGAATCGAGCTGTGGTAGTAGCTAGAGATAGTCTAGGCAGATGGTAGAAGCCATAGAAAAGTTTAGGAATGGGGGGGGGCACATGCTCACTCAAGAGTGTGTGTGTAGGGTGGGCTGCTTTTTTCCTGGAAAATATGGACATATCTTTTGGAAATGAGCTAATATTGGTCAATAAGTCACACCCCCTCTGGTCTTTGGCTAACTCCCTAAGGTGGGCTAGTTTCTCTGAAACCCATCCCCAAATGGAACCAACCCTCAGTGGCCCTGCCTCCTTTAGTAGGCCAGCCTCAAACTCTTGGGAGTTACAGATTCTATACCTGCTCTGGAGACCAGGTGTGGGTCCTTCTTCGCTGCTATTGCTGGAGGCTTCATCTCCACTAGGGAGCCTGGCTTGGGGGGAGGGCTGACCAGAGCTCTCCCCAACTAGGCTCCCAGCTTGTGAAGTCTGAGAATTTAGCACAATAAATTTGTACTTTTTCCAGTTGCAGGCCTTGGGGTCTGGGCTGGCTGGACTGGGGGAGCCTTGACTGCAGCTTCGAGACTCAGTAGGTGGATCTGGGTGTCCTTCTGAGCGCCTGGGACTGCCTGGCGGAGGGGCTGTAGGGGGCCTTGGGGGTTCTGCCTCCAGGGGTCGCAGGGAGATGCCTAGAGGTTCATAGCTAGAAAAAGTATGATGGCCATTAATACCGTTTCCTAATCCATTGTTCTGGCCCATAATACTAGGAGCACCAGATATATGGAGAACACAAATGCATGGCTCCTTCACCTGGCTTGGATGAAGCGATGGCATGCCTCAACTACATGTTCCATCTGCAGATAGGTGGCAGCCGCAAGGACAGCTGGTGCAGTGGCTGGGGAGAGGCGAAGCCTTGAAGTGTACATGAAGTCCAGAAGAGGAGCAAAGCCCCTGGCTTCTGGACCCCCAGGCAGAGAGAGTACATCCACTCCGACTCCTGCTCGGCCTCGGAAAATTGAATAGAAGAAGCCACTGGAGAGAGGACAATGGGACCATGTTAGGAGCTGGGAGACCAAAGCAGACACAGGATACCTTAGACTCTTGCCTCCCCAATAGTACTGCTGCCCCACTTCTTGAATGCACCCCCATGCTTCTCTTTCCTTCCTTCCTTCCTATCCGCCCTGCTCTGCCTCCCCAGTTCTGGATTACAGGTGTGGGCCACTATTCCCAACTTTCCTCCTGCATTGGGTTACCTCTCAACCGCCTTGTGACTCTGTACTCTACCCAGTTAATCCCAGGACCCCTATCCCTCGAACCTGCAGGCGATAAGAACTGCCTTGTGTGCTCTTAGGGGTTGCCCGCCAACCAGCAGCGTGACGTCAGTGAGGATCCCGCGCAGGCGCAGCTCATTCAGATTGCCAAGCACATCGGAGGAGTGGCGCGTGAACTCTCGGACGTAGCCCAGGGCTCCTTCCTGGGCCGCTGTGGAACTCATAACGACCCAGGCCTGCGCCAGCCACGGAAAAAGTTAGCAGATCCAGGCATGCCTAAGACACATTCCATTTTCTGCTGGTGTTTTCTTTCCGAGGTGCCCCTAGCGTCAACACCATCAGATAGCGGTTCATTCTGCCCTCAACGGTCTCTTCCTTCCCATTGCTGGATCTCAGAGCTCTTGGAGCAAGTTAGAAATTCTCGTACCTCCGTCTGGAGGGCGAGCAGGAGGACTCCCACACTCCCGCACACCGTGCTTTGGTTCGACTCTAGCTATCTCATCCATTACCTTCCTTTTCTCTGCTTTCCAGCGCGCCTGGGTCACAGGTACCAGATCTTGCCTGAGGACCACATATAATCAACAGCCCACACCCTTCCATGCCCATGCGACTCCCATCGCCAGACCCAGTACTCCCCATCTCTTTTTAGCATAAATTCTGAATTCAAGTCTTATTACCATCAACAAACCCCATCCCACTTTGGGGACCCATGAGTCTTCAAAGTCTGGTTCTTACCCCTGTCCTGCAGGGGCTGTGGCTTCTCTCCTCGAGGGGGGCGGGGTCTCTCCTCTCTTTCGGCCTGGGCTCCTTTATCCGGCCGGGATGTCGGGGGCGGGGGTAGAGGTGGGGTGAACTCGTGGGTCCGTATCCTTCCTTCCTCTTTCGCTCTCCAGATGGTGAGCCCAGGGCGGGGTCTCTGTCTCAAACGTTGTATCTCAGAACCGTGGGGGGGGGCTTTGGCTCGTTAAATGAGCACCCGAGGGTGAGGATATTAGAATTGGGGGAGGAGGTTAGTGATGTGGAAGGTGTGTCGTCGGAGGACCTGGGACAGTAAGAATTGAGTTTTGGGTTTTGGAAAAGGGTGCCAAGAGCTTGTTAAAGGAAAAAGGAAATGCCGCAAAACTCCCCATTCCAATGCACTGGATTCAGGGAAAAACTAGAGAACCCAAGTGGTATCGGGTTTGGGGAGTCGGTAGTGGTCTCTTGTGGGATCTCAGACAGAGGGAGGAGATGTGATTGACAGGCAGGGTCCACAAAGCGGGGGCGGGCGGGGGGCTCTGACCAGGCGGGGTAAGAAGAGGGCGGATATGATTTCTAGTTCGTTTCCTTCCATTGTCCTGAGACCGGACGGCTCCTGCAGCTGCTTCCCCTCGAGGAGGTGGGGAAAGCCCCGGGTGGGGACCGAGAGACGGTCGGGAGACCTAGGCGTCCGGCCTCTTTCTCCCGATTCTCTTCTGAACCCTTTTAGGGATCCAGATAGACAGACTCCCGTCCAAAGCCCTGCTGCTCTTCGTCAGTCCTAGCACACTAGGGCCTCGAGCACCCGCCGGTCGGCTGCTCAGAGTCTGGCGGGACGCCGGGGTCCAGCGCGGCAAGTAGGCGAAGCTCGGCAATGTCTGCATCTTTCCACGAGGGGGCAGACGAGCCTCGCTTCGCCTCTATGTCTCTGGCTGGAGATGTGCTCAGACCAGAGAGCTGGATGCGTTCAACCTTCTGCTGCCTTCTCTTTGCAGCACCTTTGTCTCTTGGTGGAACACTATGTAGAAGACAGTAGAGTCTCCGAAGGAAACTCAGGCTGGAGCTTCTGTGGAATTGGCCTTGGAATGTGGGGAGTGGTTGGGACAAGGAGTGGGATCTTGTACCTGTGAACATAGTGTTTTCTTTTCTAATTAGATAGACACTGCTATCCAGATGTCTGTAGATGTGAATTTTAGTGAACATTATATGTACGTTTGAGTGGAGTAAACAAAGAGAGGACAGAGAAGGGAGGAAGAACCCGGGAACCTTACTTTAACTACTCCATCCAGGAGATAGGCAGGGACCACACCCTTAGTTTTGTTTTGGGGAGCCTTGTGGTAGGAGGACAAAGTTCATTTGAAGAAGAGGGGCCAGAGCTGAACGGAGGTGCAAAGCAGGTGCTCTTTGATTGTGGGGTCAGGAGCATGTGCAGTTGAGCAAGAATGACTGAGCATTGGCCATGGAGCTGCACAACTAGGCCTGAGGCCTCTCCTGTTCTAGGCATTGTTTGTTTGTTGTTTTGAGCAGACATACAATCAGCAGACCAGCAGAGAACTGGGGTTAGCCTAAGGGTCAGGATGAAGACATGTATTCCCTTTGTCAGGATTATTTTGGTTTCCATCCAATTTTTACCTTCAATTTTGAGGTGAAAACATGTAGGGCTACTTTTGATATCAGGGTGGAGTTAGGTATGTGGTCAGTTTTGGGGTGCTACTTGCCATAACATGTTGTCATAGTCTACTGGGCCTGTTTTTTAGTCTCAAGATCTAATAGCAAAGTTGGAAGTGTGGGGCTGGTTGTAAAGGTTCTTGGAGGGAGCAGGTCTAATGATCATGACTTTAAGACAGTCCATCTTGTTATTTTGGTCTACTGGGAGAGCCTTCTGAGTGCTCAGTGTTTCAAGCTTTAGATGAGATTGTTTAGGGACATAAAATTCAGTTTGGAGCTTTTAGGAGGCAACATTATTTTGAGTTGGAGGCAGAGCAGGAAGCTAGGGTCAAGTTTGGAGGCTTTTTTAGTTGAGGACTTGTGGGGGGGGCAGTTTTATATTTGAATCTTGTGGAAACTCCTTTTGAGGGAAGGATATTCCTGTGTATATGTTTAGGTATGAAACTCTCCCAGAGGACAGACTATGAGGAGCACCCCCCAGGATAGTTTGGGGGTGTTCAGTTTTGGGGTGTTTTGTCACTGGTCACATTTGGTGAAATGGAGATTGAGTTGGAAGTTCACCTATTCTAGAACACATTTCTGGTTTTAGGTTATCTTTTGCTGATAGCCCTCTCTTACCGCAGATTCCAGAAAGTTCTATTTTAGTGAACCCCCAAATAAGCTGGGGATTTGAAGGGAGAAGCCTGGAAAAAGTAGTTCATCATAGACGTATTAGTATATGGCTTATTGAGCTGAGGGGAAAAGGTGGCTTCACACTCTGAACCCCGATTTCTTATGGAAGAAAACAAATCTGGAGGAAAATGGGGTGTCTCTTGTTAAAGTGGGTGCTTCTGACCAATGCAGTGCTGCTGAAACTGGCAAGGAGGGGCTGTAGTGGGCTACAAGGAGGTGATTTTTGCACCCTTATTTTTAGGATAAAAACTCCAAACAGAAAGCAGAGGACTAGGAATGAGGGTGAACTGAGGGGGGAGGGGTTCCTAACGGCAGCAGGAGCTAGAGGGTAAACCAGGCCAGATATTCCCGCCTAGGTCCCTGTTCTCTTCGGCTCTCCTCCCCTCTCTCCCTCCCACCGCCCACCCCCCCAACCCAAGGAAAAAAAAAACTGCCTGTGCAATAGCAATGGCAGATTCCAGTCCTCCAGGCTTTCCTAAACCACCACCGAGACCAGCCGGGGGGAGGGGAGGGGAGGGGAGGATCGGGCTTCCCTGCTTCCTTGAGACAGGGGCAATGAGCTTGACCTCTTGGCCCCTAGCCCTCTAAAGAGTGTCCCCTGGTCTGGAAGCCAGGTGTCCTGGACCCTAGCCCCCAAGCGGGGGGGCCTGGAGAAACGGGGAGGAGGAAGGAGGGAGTGACTTCCAAAATTGGCATCGGGACAGAGCAGGGCTGGCGGGAGGCAGGAGAAAGACAGAATTTTCCTGAAAAAACGGGGGTACCTAAGGGCCCCAAATTTGGGTAGCTAGTCCAGGGCCGTCTTCCCAACACCCTAGATTTTTTGGGGATTTTTTGGGGGCCCCGGGACCCCTCTAGATGGGGTGAGGAATGTAGTGTTGGGGGAATCTGACTGGGGCATTGCAGCTGCCTCTCCCGCCGAGTTGGAGACGGATGGGCTGGGACGGGTTTTGGGGGGGGTGTCCCCAGTTCTGACTGGGAGTGGAGGAACCCCTCCAGAGCTTTCTTGTGGGGGTCCCCCTCCCCAAGGCACTCCCCAGTCCTTGAGCCAGCTGAAAGGAAGGAGGCCAGCGATGCGACTGGGGCGGCTTTTTTCTCCTGCACCCCAAATGTGAGGGATGCACCCCCAAATTTGCTCCTTTCAAAATAGGGGACCAGGATCTCAGGGGAGAGTAGCTGAGGTAAGTGGGGAGGAAAGTGTCCCCTGTTTTCAGGAGAGACGTGGCGGTTGGGGGGGAGGTTTGGAGGTGCGTGCTGGGGTGGGGTTGTGCTCTGGAACTCTTAGAGTTGGGGGGATGACCAGAGAACCTTTCTCTTGTACCCCTAAGATGTATCCCCTCAGATTGGAACCAAAGTCGGAGACTTGAGAGCCCCCCAATGTTCCCAGACATTAGGATAGTGTTTGATTTTCTTACCCCCACAAAAGCTTTGCTGAGATGGGAGCTGGGGGCAGCAGTTGTTTGGGGGGTTCTGGAGGGTGTAAGGAGCAGAAGGCCTTGGCAAGGTTTGATAGAGGATGGCAGTAGTCTTGGACAGGGTCTGACATCCTCAGGGGCCCTACAAAGACTGCTTACACACACCATCTTAGCTCTTTTGCTTGCTAAGAGTTTTGGGGGGTGTGTCGGAAGCTTGGAGGTGGTGAAGGGTGGGATGCGAGATGGGAAGATTAATATTTGAGTATTATAGAGTTTTTTGTTTTTAGTTTCCAGGAGAAACTTTTGCCTTCTGGGAGGTTCTTTTTAAAATCAGGTCTTGGACAGGAGGAAAAGGCTAAGGGAAGGCCTAGGGTTGGGGGTGGGGAGAGACATGTTTGTCTTTGCTTAAACGTGGCTCTCAGGGGTGGGCCTGCCTGCCTGGCCTGGAGAATGGGCTAATGAGTGTTGCTGTGGGGGTGGGGCGTGGGTCTTGGGGGCCCATGGGGAATGGGAGCAGCACCTGGGGTTGAATACTTTGGCCCTTAGGTTCAGATGGGCCTCTTCCTGGGCTCTGCTGCTCCCCTTTCTCCCTGGCCTCCATTTCCTGCCTTTGGCCTCCATCTTGTGGCAGGCCCAGGGCCCATGGTGACTTCCGGCCCCCCTCTCTCAACCGTGTTCCAGCCCCACCACCTCTGGACTGCCAACTCCCAACCCTGCTGTCCTTGGCCCTGTCTCTTTTAGCATTTCTCTTGGGTTCTGACCTAGAGAGGGAGGGATGGACACAGGAAGCCTTAGGTCCTTGCCTTTGTCGGGAGGCAGTTTGTTGGTCTTCCCTAGTCATTCCCTGCTTCCTCAGGGTCTACCCTAAGGATTCCCAGAGCTGGATTCCTATAGAGGTGAAGAATGTTCCAAGCTTGTCACACTGAACTCATCTCCCAGGGTCCTGCGCTGTTGTGTTCCAATCTTTTTGGGGCTCATGCTTGCCATTCACACCTTCTCCATCGCCTCACGGTTGGTGGGGGTCTTCAAGGCACTGTCTTGTGCTGTCTTCCTCTCAACCCATCCAAAGTCCTGCTCCCGCCCCAGCAGCACACTGTGGTTTGTACGGCACTGTGGCCACGTCCAAACCACACTGTGGTGTTAGAGCGAGGGTGGGGGAGGCACCGCTGAGGCCTGGCCCTGGGCAGCCACCCTGGAGAAGCAGCATCTGGGGTATGGTGAAGGAGCTCTGACAAGGTGGGGCAGGACAGTATGGAACACTGGAAAGAGCCCTCTAAAATCCCCAGGTAGTCTTTGTCAGCAAGCCTGGAGTAAGTTCTGGTCCCACAGAACAAAGTAGAGCCTTTGTTGCCCACACCCAGCTCTCCTGGCTCTAGCAGCACAGAAATATTGGCACTGGGAAGTGAGTCTGCCAATACTGGCTGTGCTGCTCCAGGCAGGGTGGTGAGAGCTACTGAAAAGGGGCCAGGCCCCCGAGAGCTAAGGAGAGAGGAGGGAGCAGCAGCTGGCAGCACCATGCTGAGAGAAATTTTTTATTATAATTTTCTGTATAAAAATGTCCATCGGAAGGAGGTCAGAGGGTATGGGCACATGTTTATCAGGAACAAGATGGACAGCTCCGGTGGCTTTCTGACCCTCTCTCATGCAGTCCTTGCTTAGAGTTCCAGGTGATCCACAGGTCCACGGTGAACAGTGAGGGTCAGAGGCAGAAGGCTCAGCAGGAGAGTAGAGGAGCATCAGCAGAGGTCGAGAGAAGGCCAGAGTCCAGGGTCAGGCTGTCTGGAACAGGAAGTAAAATGCATCGAGATGGAGCAAGCACGGAGTAAGTTTCCAAAAAAACCTTCACCTCCTCAAACATCATATTCCTAACTGACCCAACCCCCTACACTGAGTATCTTCAGTCTGAAGCCCTTGCACGAGAAAGGGGCTTCTGCTGGGACCCTCCCCTACCATCCAGGTGAGTACTTCTTCCCCACCCCAGCCAGTGAGGGAGGAGGAGGACTCCTACCCTGGTCAAAGTTGAGTTTCTTGGCTGGAGGAGTTTCTCCTAGCCCTTCAACATCCACCAGGTCACTGTTGGCGTCGGAGTCGTTCAGAGCACTGAGGGTCACATCTGGGAGGGGGCATAGGCTAGGTTCTAGGTTTCCTGACTGCTCTCCCTCGGCCCAGTTTCCCAAAGCTTCATGCTCTACACAGCCCTCTACCCGATGTGGAATTATCACTGAGCACACAAGCGTTATCTGTCCTTTGACCCAGGCCCAATTCTCTCACTGAACCTCAGATAGGACCTTTAACCCCTACCCTAGGCAGCAACTCCACAGCCCTCACCAGCCTTCTGTTTCTTTAGGGGAGGACCCCCAGCTTCAGGGACACTGGAGCTGCTGGGTGGAGGGGCAGTTGGAGGGGAGAGGACCCCAGACGTCATCTTCTTGAGCCCTTTCTTGGGTGACTCAGTTGGAAGAGGGACACCAGAGTCTTCATAAACTTTTCGCTTGACAGTGGCCTTTATCTGAGCCCTGAAGATAAGAGAAAGCAGATTAGGGAGATCATCACCAGAGAAGCTGAGGGAAGGGGGAAGGGGGGAATAATGGGCCACTCTGAAGGACTCCTAGTTCCTTCATAAATATCCAGATCAAGGCCCTAATACATGTGTAATAAGGGTCCCCCTACCCTCAGCAGCTTTGTACCTGCTTAGGGCTAGTGGGTTATGGAGACCGGAGTGCCCAAACAGAGCAGCCAAAAAGGCCCTTGCCACGAACCTTAGCAGAGATGTCTGGGTGTGTAGGGCCACCAGGTATGTATTGGTGATATAAAGGTAAACTGAGACTTTTTCATAGATGCTGACCAGCTAAGTAGTGCAGAATGCATCCCTGGGAATGCTAGTCTCAAAGGATTTATATAGATAGCTAGGGAATCCTCATCATCAAATATACCCATTGAGTATCTGGGCACCTGAAAGTAAAATTCTCTGGAGGTCCTAATTACCATCACATTTCCTGAACTTCCAATCAATTGCCACAATTATATTCTTTTAGCCTTCAAGGAAAGGCTAACAAAAGTAGCAACAAAGTAGGAAAGATGCTGAGCTGGGGGTTCTGAGGAAGAACAATGGGTAAGGAGAAGAAAGTTGCCCACCCCTCCCTTTCTCTGCCAACCACCCTCCCTCACACTGTCCGTTCCTTGATGACACAGCTGATGTGATTAAGATCGTCCCCAAATCGCTTCACAGCAGCCCTCAGCATCTCTATCTCCGTCTCCGTCCACTTGGCACTGTCGGAAGGGGAGAAGGGTGATAGCAAAAATGGAAGGAGGAGTGTGTGGAGCCAGCCCACAGGCTATTCCGTCCACAGTCAAGCAGCCTCTTCCCTCTAGTCTCTGGGGCACCTTTCAAAGATTCAGAAAGAGGACCTCCTTAAGAAAGCCCTGGGGACAAACCGCTAGCCACATGAAATTGCATCCAGAGCCACTTCAAAACATCTCTCTTCATCATGTAACAGCTGCTATAAACAACCCACGGAAACCAATGCAACAAGTAGGGGCCTTGCAAACAGAACCCTCGAAAGATGTGTCTAAGGGATTACATACAGTTTAGGGTGGGTGAGAGACAGTATGTCGGTTTGCAGCGGGGGGATTGTGGACCTGGTAGTATCTTCACCTGTCATTCACTAATTCAACAGTGATTAACAACTACACTGAGCTGGGCCAGGCACAGAGGAATTAATGTGTCTCCCTGCTCTAGCGAGGGTCGTGTCGGTGACTGAGTTCAAGCGCCCGCTCTCGGCTTCCAGGTCCTAGGCTGGTCTCACGTACCCGGCAGGGGAAGAGTCCGATACTGGATGCAGCTGCATAGTCAGCTCCCCGAGCTTCGTGAAGGCGGCGCCGGCCGCAGAGAAGATCTCTCCAACCTGGGGGCGGAGCAGCATTACGGGGGGCCGGCAGCGCGCCGTCCCACCCCAGCCTCGGATCCGCCCGCCCCCCGCCCAGCGCGCACCAGCCGGGAACCAGGCAGGGGGCCCACCCTCCCGTGGCCGCCAGGGAGCGCAGTCCGCGAGGGAGGTCGAACCTTGGTGGACGCTGACGTCATGGCCCCGCGCACCTCCTCACGGAGACGCTCTGCCGCCACCACCACGCGAGCTGGAAACCACGGAGAGCCGGGCAGCCGGCCGCTCTGGCTCCCGCGCAGGAAGTCCCGCCCTCCTTGCCGCCGATTGGCCGAAACTCGACCTCTCCCCAGTCACTCAGGTCACCTCGCCGCGCGGAGGAAGACGAGATGGAAGACGTCGCCCCACTTCCGGCTGGCTTCATTCCACTTCCGTCGAAGGGTCGGGATTCCTCGTTGAGGCTACACTCAGTCTTGCAAGCCCAGGCCCGCCCTCTCCCCGAAAGCAGAGACACCGAGCTTAGGAGAACCGCTTCTTTTTATTGTAGCTCAGGACAGGGCGGGGTCAGCCCCGGTCCCCTCCAGGGGCTGGGCAGCAGAATTTGCAGGGCCAGGGATACGGTCTCGCTGGGTAACTCGGTCCCGGAGGACGCCAGACGGGTGGGACAGACTGAGGCTGAGGAGTCTTTAAATAGAGGAGTGGGGTGGGGAGGGAGGGAGGGCTGCGCTCTAGCGCACCATGTATTCCTTCCGCTTATTGAGCCGAACTTGGCAGAAGGAGAAGCCTCCGAGGAGGAGGTAGAGGCCCGCGGCGATGAAACAGTTGTAGCTGACTTGCTCGTACAGGCTGTATATGTTCTGAGGGCCGTTCCTGGAAGCAGGGAAACGTCAATCACTCAGAGCATCCATACGCACGGGCTGTGCACCAGACACCACGCTAAACGCTTTGACTTCTATTAGTCTTCCTGACGGTCTATCATGGGATCCACTTTTGAGGAGGTGGAATGAGGCGCGGGGAGGCAAAATGTTGGAAGAGGCCTCACCTAAGAATGGTGGGTTTGGGGTGGCCACGGAAGTCCAGTTTGCAAAACTGCCCCTAAGTGCATTTTTAGTTCCTGGGGATTGAAACTAGGACCTTGCGTGTTAAACACTCGTTTGCCACTGAACTACTTTATAGAGAGCCACTCTCTTCTTGCAGCCCCCCAACCTAGGGCCATAAACGTTCAGCCTTCAGCAGTGTCCTCCACATAGTTCTGAGCCTAGACCCTGCTACTTCTCATTTGCATCCAGATTCGCCTAAGTACCCGACCACTTACTCAAAGTCTTTCTCTGTGAAGGGAACGTCCTCAATTAATACAGCAGAGTGGACATTGAAAAATATCCCGAGCATTATCTGGAAGAACAAGGAATAGGTAGGTTGTCAAATTCTGGCACCTTACCTGTTGGTTGCTCCCTAAGCTCCTCCCATTTCTAGTGTTGGCCCAGCACCTGCCCCTTAGATAACCAGAAAGGGCTAGGAGCAGAGTGGTTGTAGCTGGATTCGGACTCAAGCCATCTGGAATAGGGCGTGAGGTAGGACACTGGGAAGAGTGGCTGGATACAAGGAGGTGGGTATAGCAAACAGCTCTCCAAGACGCGTCATTATCATGGGACTAGGCGGAAGAGATGAGGGAAACCCAACACTTCATATTTTTGAGAGTGAAGGCCGGTAGAACCTCAGCTACCATTTTCGGGAGCAAGCACACTTCTTCCTCGCCTCCTTTCCACTTAAGCATGTCACGGGGGCCTAGCTCTGGCTTACCCTGAGGGGTCAGCAAATTTACCAGCGCTGGTTTCCATCCCCGGGGTTCTGCTCCATCACCCTTTCGCTCTAGTTCCCAATGTTTCGATCTAAGTTCCGTCCCATTTTCCAGAAGCTAGCTAGCCAGACCCTACTTCCAAAGGCCTGGGGGTCCCTGGCCTCCCAACCCTTCAACTCCGGAGCCCCTCGGGCCCGCTCCGATTCTCGTGGGGCAGCCCCCTCACCAACATGATCACTCCCCAGGCGCTGAGGACGATGCCACAGGCGGCCAGCTTAGGCCCACAGCACAGGAGCGACGCCATGGAGCAGGAAGGGAGGGAAGAAGGGAGGAAGCTCTAGAGACTGAGCGAGGAAAAGAAGCGGCGAGAGGAACTCCTGGAGACGCCGGGAACCCGAGAGCTGGATTTGGGGACTTGCGCGGAGCCCAGCGACGGGGGGCGTGGCCTTAGGCGCGGACCACTCTGAGGGGGCGGCTGGAAGAGAGCGCTACGCCACAGGGTGGACCAAGGCTTGGACAAGGATGCGCTGTCAGAACTCGAAGCGGTATCTCTGTAAATTCTCCTTGACCCAGATGGTGGGGACGTGAGTGCTGTAGGAACTAGGGGCCTAATGGCTCTTCCTCTTCCACTACCCCCCATCTTGGAATGGAAGGAGCAGGCAGACATCTCACGTGACAGACTTGGCAGGTCACGTGATCAGGAACTAGCCTGACCCTGGCGTCTGGAAAGAGTCTAACAGGAATGAGCCCCTGCTGAGTTGAGTAATGGTCTGTCCTGTTAGTTCGGGAAGCTGGGGGTCGTCTTCACCGCCCCCCCACATACACACATGCCTTTGTCTCTGGTGGTCTTCTGTGATGGGGGAAACGGTAAGGAGACGGTGAGATTACTCGGCATCCTGGTCTATCGCCTCTATCCTGGTGTCCCTTTTGAAAGATGTTTTGGCACTTTGAGAGTCCTTTTTGGAAGAGCCCCTTCCTGAGGCTGAGCATCCTGCTTGGAGGACCGTTTTTAAATAGTTGCAGACTTCTTGACCCTGGAAATGCTACACTTGAAATAAAGCGTCGTTCTAAATACCACGTTCAGGAAAAATATGGGTCTAAAAAAGCAGATTCATTGGACTCATTATGAAAGGCAAGTGGACTTGCTAAGAGTCGGGGAGAAAGGAGTAAGTACACAAAAAAAGTCGCTGTTGCTTCTGTCTCCACTAAAAAAGCTGTACTTTAAGACAGGACAGAAGATGGGTCTTGGTCACTGTTCCAGTGCTGTGAGGAGACACCATGACCAAGACAGCTCATAGAAAGCATTGAATTGGAGCTCGCTTACAGTTTCAGAGGTTGACCATTATCATCATGGTGGGAACACAGCAGCACATACGGCATGGCCAGGAGCAGAGCTCCATCCTAATCAGTATCGGGGAGGACAGGGCTGACGGGGTCTGGCATGGGCTTTTGAAACCAGAGCCCACCCCCAGTGACTTGACTTCCTCAGGCAGGGACAGACCTCTCCTAATCCTGTAACCCTTTCAAACAGTTCCACTCTCTGTTGACCAAACATTCAAATATATGAACCTATAGGGCTATTCTCATTCATACCGCCACAAAATGTAAAAATAATAGGCCTTCCTCTCCAAAACAAATTTGGAAATATTCACTAGCGAGAAACATATTTATAGTAATTATTTGGGGTAGGTAGATATGTTTAAAGAACACCCCTTCCTCTCCAGGGCTGGGGTTCAAGCTCAGCACCAGGGAGGAAGAAAAATTTTGCACTGAGATTGGTGTCCCCATACTACTAATGACAATAGCCACAGGACAGTTTTGAGAATACATTTTAATCCCAAAACCCCAGAAGCAAACAGAGGAACACTGTCATGCTCTAGAATCTTGAGGCATTTTGTTTATTTTGTGGATATTAGTATCAAAATAATTGTGAAGGAGAAATTTGAGAAGCGCACAGGGACCACTGGGTGTCAAGTAGGCTGGGAAAGTGGGCTGGAAACAAGAATTTCCGCCCCTTTTGTTTGTGACTGTTAGGGAAGAAGCTATTTGGGAAAATGTCTTTTATTTGGAGCCAGTAACACCACGGAGGGACATTCAGGGTATGTGTTCGAATTGGAGAAGCCGGGATGGAGGGGAAATTGTCAAGGAAGAGAATCAGGATTTTACAAGTTGGCCACCAACCTGGCAATGGCGAATTAGCTGAAGTAATTGATGTCACCCAGAAATACCATTTTCCTCTCTGCAATCCTGGCTCTTAGATGTTTTGAAACTGGAATTTTGGGGCTGAGGCTTTTGTGAGATTAGACCAAATCTAATCTGAAATTGTTCATGACCCTCAAGCAAAGTACTCTTATTTTCATTTGCTTGCCTGATTTTCTTTGTTTTTGTTTTTTTGAGACAGGGTTTCTCTGTGTAACAGCTCTGGCTGTTCTGGAACTTAATCTGTAGAGATCTGCCTGCCTCTGCCTCCCAAACACTGGGATTAAAGGTGAGTGCCACCACTGCCTGGCTTTGTTTTTGTTTTTAAATGGCAGAAGAAGAAAAAAAAAAAAAAAAAAAGCCAAAATACTATCCTGTGACATTTGACATTTACATCTCAGTGTCTATACATAAAGTTTTATTGGAACATAGTCACACTCACAATGTCGGTAGTTGCTTTAATGGCACATCGAGAGAGCTAAGTAATGTGGCAGAAAGTGTATGACCGACAAAGACTAAACCATTCCTCTTTACAGCAGAACATTTATGTGCCCTGTGGTGCTGGTGTGGAGGGTTTAGTCTGGAGAGGAATTTGAGTCTTAGCAGCGACATAAGGAGGCACAGACTCAAGAGAGCAGTAGCTCTAGAGCTCCTGGGTGCCAGCACCTCTGGCTCAGATGGTGATGCTGTTCTCTATGCGGCTGGGCTTGAGGTATTCGTAGGGCAGGTCAAGTTGCTCATTGCGGGCTGTAATCTCTCTTTCCAAATTTTCCAAATCTGCTTGAAATCGGCTCAGCACAGTTTTGGTCCTGGGGTCTGAGAAATACTTTTCTTTGTGTTGTCCTAGAGGTACCTGAGATGGAAAGGATCATTCAGGTTCCAGCCCGAAGACACCCAGCCCCTTACATGATACTACCCCCCCCCCACTGTTACTTCCTTCTTGTTGATCCTCACTCACCATGTCCGGCTGGAGACGACCCAGATGCCATGTGATGGTCATTTGAAGACAGGACTTCTGAATATCAGGTAGTGACCCCATCACCATCTCCATTGTCACATCGTCCTTGTTGGTGGGTGGGGGCATCCTCATTGTGCATGGAGCATTAGGTACCCAACAAAACCAGTCCAGCTGGGGGAGGAAACTGTAGCTCTAGAACCCAAGTATTCCAATTTGGATCCCCACCTCACCCTTGGATGTCCTGAGGTGCAGACACTTGCTTTCTGGGTCCCGAGCTCTCCATACCTGGCCCTGGTTGATGGCAGCATGCTGGGAAGTGCATGTGAAGACACACATGGTAAGAAAATGGCAGAGCTCAGCCCGGGTCTGGAGGGAGACAGGGAAACCTGGCCAGGGAAAAAGCAGAATAAGAGGGGGAGAAACCAAAGATAGTCTGTATTTTAGAGCAGATGTGTGGTTTCTTATTCATATAGATATATTTGTATCAGATATAACTTACAATACTGGCCTAATTACTTATATCCTGGTTATTTTAGACCAGAGGTTCTCAACCTGTGGGTCTTGACCCACACAGGGGTCCCATATCAGATGTCCTGCATATCAGATACTTACGTTGTGATTTATGACAGTAGTAAAATTACAGTTCTGGAGTAGCAACAAAATAATCTTATGGTTGGGGGTTACTACGACATGAGGAACTGCATTAAAGGGTTGTAGCATTAGAAAGGTTGAGAACCACTGCATTAGACCAGTTGCCTAACCTCTCCACATTCCAGTTTTTTTCATCTGCACAGTGGATGTAGTGCAGTAATCCCAGCTCAGAGGCAAGAGGCTTGTGAGTTCCTGGCCAGCCCAGCCTACATATACAGTTTCAGGCAAGCCTGCATCACTGTCTGAATTACACAGTATGATCCTATCTTAAAACAACAACAACAACAAAGCATCAAAACCATCTGTTTTTTAGATAGTGCTCAACAAATGATAGATACTGTTATTGTAGAAGGATTAGGAGCTGGGCAATCAGTTATCCCTGGTTGGTTAAGAATTAAAGATTCTTCTTCCTATTTCTAGACAGAATTATAGTCTCTTAGTCACACAATGGAGAATATGACAAGTACTGAGCTGAGCCTAGTGGCACAGGTCTGAAACCCCAGCACTTAGGAGGCTGAGGCAGGAAGAGCATGACTTCAAGGCGAGCTTTCACTACATAGTAAGTTTGAGGCCCAGCTAGGCCAAATCACCAGGTGTGAAAAAAAGCCAAGTCCTGAGTTAACCCCATGCCAGTTATTTACAGTATGTGTGGGAGCTTTGAGTTGAGCTGGTACATACATAATTACACTTGTCATCTAGATAAGAAGATAAAAGGCCAGAGAGATTAAATGTTTCTCAAGATTGTCTAGTAGCGGGGGGAAAACAGAGGCTGACTTTGAACTCGGGTTCCTAACTGCTATTCTATTAACCTTTTTAATTTTAGCATATTTTCTCTGAGTCCAACAAGAAAATCAGGCAAAAATGGGCTCTGTGAGTTGAGAGAGATTAGAGAGAGGAGGGACTGAGAAGCTATTTGTGGAGGTTAAAGTTGTGGTATGGAATGAATGTTTGTGTATCCTCCCCCAAGTTAATATTCTGAAATTATTTTCCAGTGAGATGGTATTTGGGCATGAAGAGTCTTTGGAAGGTTATAATGTCATGATGTTGGAGCTCTCACGAGTGATGGCAGTGTCCTTATGGGACAGGACGGCTATCTAGTTTGTCCTCTGACTGCCATGTGGTACCATGAAAGTTATTTGTGTCACTAGGAAGAGCGCCCACCAGAACCCAAACATGGCTGGCACTCTGGCCTCAGACTTTAAGCCTCCAGAATGGTGAGAAATAAACTTATGCTGTTTAAGCCACACTGGCTGTTTCACTTCATTATTTCAATCCAGACAAAGACACTGAGTATTTATTATAAATTTCAAGATGTAGATACTGCTTGAGGAGATGGCGTTTTTGGACACGTGAAGCCAAAGGATCAAGACAGAGAGACACTAGAGAAAGCTTGGTAGGCAATAGTAGGGGTGGTGGACCCCTTGCTTCTTCAAGGGGAGGCTTTCTCCAGGGCGCAGGTGCTTGCTGCATGTAGGATCTTGCCATGGTGGTCCTGCTGTGCCACGAAGCAGCAGTGGATGGGATTCAAGGTGGTCGGAAGTACG